GTTTTGTAGTGCAGGGTTGGCTTTGGTAAAATCCCTTAGCTTCTCGGAAACATGTTTTTGAACTGTCAACCTTTCGGTCACCAGGGCTTTTGTAAATAGTGAGCAGGGCAGCAGCATTCATAATGTGGAAGCAGCCCAAATACCCTTTAACTGGGGATGGATAAACAGAACGTGATCCATCCTCTCAGTGGAAGTCTGCTGTCGTTAGACATGGTCGAGTTGGTTCCAACCCTGTGCACAACAGAAGAACCCTCTGCCTGGTCCTGCGTCATCCTCACCATCTTTGTTGAGCTTGAGTCCAATATCGGTGCCACCGTGTGAGTCCATCTTGTTGGAGGTTTTCCAAAAGAAAGGAAGTTGGGATTCCCGCTGCATCATGGACGAGGCTTGAAAGCCTCATTTGGAGTGAAAGAAGCAAGTTGGAAAGATGGCTTGTTGAACGGTTGCGTTTATAAGAAATACACAGAGCAGGCACGTCATAGACAGGAAGCGGATCAGTGGGCGCCAGGGGCTGGGCCAGTGGAGTGTTGACAACGATCTGGAATTAAACATTGGCGACCATTGTGTTCCATTGAGGCCACCGGCTGCACACTCCTCAGGGACAGATGTGATTGTCTGTGAATAATATCTCAACAAAAGTGAAGCACCCGTGTGCATTGGGGAGGGAAGAGGGGGAGAATGTTACTGCTTTAGGTTAAAGCGAGCCTCCCTTTCCAGGAAGGGGAAGAGACTGCAGTCAGGACTCCCAGACGTGGTCAGCCTTTGACATTTAAAACAGTCCACTCACTCTTGTCTTCTCTGAGGGAGACCTGGCTTTAGGTTCTGGCCAACCTCACGCCTGTGGCCTCCACCCTCTCTTAGTGGATACTTCTGTGTGATGCTGCAGCGGTCTCAACAGAGCTTCCAGACTAAAAAAGACTAGGAAGAAAGACCTGGTGATCGATGTTTGAACATCCGCCAGTGAAAACCCCATGGACTGTGGCGGTAAAGGTCATAACAGACATCGTTGTCATTGTCATCGTTTCAGTCGATTAAAACGACGCTGGGTCAAGATATGGGCTGTCATCCTCAGCCACGTGTCCTTTGACCTAATACCTTTCTGGGTTTCAGGTGATTTTGTACTCACTGGTCCCCGACTTCTGCCACAAATTCCTGCCCGGCTACGTTGGAGGAGTCCAGGAGGGGGCGGTGACGCCTGCAGGTAAGCCTCTTCAGTCTGCCCGACTCCTCTTCTCCAGCACTCCTGTGGGCCCATGGTACGCTGGCCATTAGAAGACTAAAACTTACTTTGGGTGGTCAGGTGGGGCCTGTCCAGGGACAAGGCTGAAGGTAACTCTTTTGTACAGAAGATTCTAGAGAGTGCTGGCTGTTTACACCGTGGGTTTGTACCTGACAGACATTTCTGTGGGAGACTGGGGCGAACTGATCTGCTCATCATTCATCTTTCTGAGAACCTGCAGGGCACTGGGCATCCTGGATAGTGGGGTGCCGATTCAGATTCCTCCCCATCTCTGCAGAGCGCTCCCACCTGGAGCCGGGGCAGGGTTCCCCGAGAGCTACAGGGAGTACAGCCCTCTAGAGGGAAGCCCTCTTCCTACTCTGCCCTCTTTGGCCTCTTCGCTTCTAACCAACAGCAGATGTCTGGTGCTGTGTGCCGTGGAGTCGATTCCGACTCATAGCGACCCTGCATAAGGTTTCCAAGGCTGAAACTCTTCACGGTTCAGAACGCTTCCTCTTTCTCCCATGGTCGATTCAAACTGCTGACCTTTCAGTTAGCAGCGCAGCTTGTAATCCACTACGCCCCCAGAGCTCCACCCAACAGCAGATTGAACTCAGCAAAGGGACAGGTTACAGCTGCTTTTCCAGCCCCTCGGTCATCTCTCCCTCCTGCCAGGACTTGCCTGTTGGTTTCCTAGCCCTGGTGTTGTGACTTCACCCACAAAACCAATTCACAGTCTCCGTGTGTGCCCGAATAGAGCCACCCCCAGCGGTTTTCTTGGCTGTCACCTTTAATTTACAGTGGTACTTACCAGGCCTTTCTTCCGCAGCACCACTGGCTGGGTTGGACTTGCCAGCTCTTGTCTGACTGCTGAGTGTAAACCATTTGCACCACCTTCACTGGGATGTGGGAGGCTGGGGTCTCTGCAGAGCTGACTTGGTCCTGAGCCAGGGTGGGTACCATGGGGTCACAGATCTCACTGATGTTTGTGTCCACCTTGTCTCCGCAGGGCATGTCAACAGGTATGAAATCAACGGCCTGCAGGCCTGGCTCATCACCCACTTGCTCTGGTTCGCCAACGCCCACTTCCTGTCCTGGTTCTCCCCAACTATCATCTTCGACAATTGGATCCCGCTGATGTGGTGTGCCAACATTCTTGGCTACGCTGTCTCCACTTTCGTCATGATCAAGAGCTATCTGTTCCCCACCAACGCCAAAGACTGGTACGTCCCTTAGGGGCCTTGGGTGGACAGTCCTGGAAGGTGGCAAACCATAAAGATTGTAGGCAAGACTCCTTCATGGTTCCTGAGGGAGCCTGGGGAACAAACATCTTTTCTGTGTTCTGTTCTTATACCTCGTTTTGGTGAAGATATACAAAGTAATATCTTTCAGCTCAGTGACCCTGCATAGGGTTTCTGAAGCTTTCAATCTTTACGGGATCTAAATGCCTCGTTTTTCTCCTGCCGACTGGCTGGTGGATTTGAACCACCAGCCTTGTGGTTAGCAGCCCAGTGTTTATACCACATCACTACCAGGGCACCATGATACACAGGAAAACCATGCACCAACCTGCTAGTTTCTGCAGCCACAGTGACAGGCACAGCAGGGAAGGAGAGGGTGGCTCACAGCCTCAGCCATGTTGTGACGTCGCTCTTGGTTTCACCATCGACATAAACCTACCGGCCCCAGGCTTCTCGTCAAACCTCTCCACTCGCTGCTGCCAATGTGCTTTCTTAGAATTCCTGAAAAGAACACAGCGCTCACTGCCAGCAGTGTTTTCTAAATCAGCAAAGTGATTGTTAGGTCTCAAGATGACTTGAGGGGATGGTGGCTGTTTTAGGTTTTAAAGATTTCCTCAGGGCAGTAGTTTCAGGGAGTTTATTCAGTCTCAGTGACTCCAGAGAGTCTGGGTTCTGTGGGAATTTGAAGTTCTGTTCTACATTTCCCCCCCTTTTGATCAGGAGTCTTCTGAAGCATCTTTGCTCAAATTGGGGCACGTCCTTTCTAAGGCTAAGGGGCTTCTCCTGTCTCGGAAAATGCAGAGGAGGGTGGCCAAGTCTGTCTTTGGTGACTGAGTTCTTTCTTTTAGACCTGGACAGGCGGGTCCTGGTTGAGGCAAAGTCGGCCATTGCTCTTCTCCTTGAATGTCCAGCGTGGCCCTGGACGGTCTTTATGGGCAGTCTTCTTATCTGAGTGGCCTTAATGTAGCAGTACCCTAGAGATCTTTGTGAAGCCTCACCGTATGTACTGCAGAGTGAAGCTGCCTGCTCATGCCCCGTCCTCATCAATTGCTGTGTTGGACACTGTGGCTGTGACGTTTCCTTCTGCAGCATGTGACCAGTAGCTTGTCCAGCCTGAGTTCACTGTGGGCCACTTGACTCTGAGCGGCCAGTGTCCTTCCTCACTGTCCCTTCGCCCATGGGAAGCAGGCATGGCTACGGAATGAAATCTTTGTCCAGCCAGCGGGCCAGTTCTCTAGGCCCTACACCCAGAAGGGGCTGAGGAGAGGTTTGGGTGCTGGGCCAGGGGTTCTAAGCACAGTTACTGCCCCTCCACCTGCCCCGGATGTTCCCCCTCTCTCAGCTGTGTGCGCCCCAGCTGCAGGCAGAGAGAGAGAGACGGTCAGCAAGGCAGGGGCATGTTTCCTCGTGCCCCCAGCTCCAGTCTGCACTCCAGCCTCTCAGCTGCCGTGGTGTGTCGAGCATCGGCCTTGGATGTGTAGATGCCCCTCACGGTGACTGTCAATGAGCTGTCAGCGGCCTCACATACAGCAGAACAAAACTTGGTCCAGCTCAGGTCACCTTCAAGGCTGTTATGAGTGAGCCCACGGTTGTGTCTGGTCATCTCATGAGGGTCTCTTTTGTTAACACTGACCCTGTGCTTCAGCAAACAGGATGTCCTTCTCTAACGCTTGGTCTTTTCTGATGAGGTTCCCAGGGTCTTGTCATCTTCCCTCCAGAGGAGCTTCCTAGATGCGCTTCTCCCGAAAATCTGCATTCTGGTTCTCCTGGCAGTGCGCGGTCTTTTCGGCATTCTTTGCTGACACCTCTGTGCAAGCACATCGATTCTTCTGTCTTCCCTGTTCGCTGTCCAGCTTGTGTGCCCAACACTCGTCTTCAGTCTGCCACATTGTGGTGGCAGGCATGTTGCTCTGAGGTTGGAAGCTAGGTCACCAGTGTTTCAGATGCCAGCAGGGCCACCCATGGTGGACAAGTTTCAGCTGAGCATCCACACTCAGACAGACTGGGAAGCAGGAAGAGGTGGTCCACTTCTGAGAAATGATGAGTCACTGACAGCGTTCAGAATATACTAGAACAACATCTGATAGAGAAGCAGAGGGTGAGCCCTTCAGATTCAGAGACACTCAGAATACCACTGGGGACGAGATGGATTGACAGACACTGAGGCAGGAACCGCAGGGCCCAACTCGACAATTGTCGTGCATCGGGTCGCTGAGTTGGAATCGACTCGATGATACCTAACGGCTTTCACGTGCTCGTAGGACTCTTTGACTAAATGTGTCTTTTTCTTGTTAAGCAAATTCACAGGCAACTTCTTTTATAACTACATGATGGGTGTTGAGTTTAATCCTCGAATTGGCAAGTGGTTTGACTTCAAGCTGTTCTTCAACGGGCGCCCCGGGATTGTCGCCTGGACACTCATCAACCTGTCCTTCGCCGCTAAGCAGCAGGAACTATACGGCCGGGTTTCCAACTCTATGATCCTGGTCAATGTCTTGCAGGTAACCAGGCTATGCCAGCCAGGGTGCACATGCTTGTGTTTGCAGACCCACAAGGCAGGTGGTGGAGGCGGTAGTGACTCCTGGCAACCCCAGGTGAAGAGAGAACTGCCTTGTTAGGCTTTCTGTGGCTGTGTCCTTTCAGAAGTTTATTGCCAGGTCTGTCTTCGAGGCACCTCTGGGTGGCCTTGCACCTCCAACCTTTTTGGCAGCAGCCCAGCAGTGAACCACACACACCCACTCTGACCCACCACTTCTACAGGACAGGCGCTGGCGCTGGGAAGCCCACCAGCCTGGGCCAGGAAGGTGTTGTTACGGGATGACTATAGGCAGAATGGGGGGTGAAGGACAGGAAGAGAAGCATGTCAGGCAGCGGCAAGGCCCAGGCTAAGGCCTTGTGGCGGGAGAAGTCAGCAAGTCTAGGGAGCAGGAATGACCGGGCTCTGGAGCAGAGCTAATTTCAGGACACGGAGTCAGGTGAGGCTCAAGATGGTTGGGGCCACACCACTTCTCACCTGCCATGCTGGAACTCCGGGTTGAATTCCCCACCAATGCACCTCACTTGCAGCCATACACCCCATCCCCATTTGCGGAGGCTTGTGTGTTGCTAGGATGTTCAAAAGGTTTCAGCTGAGCTTCCAGACTAAAGACTAGGAATAAAGGTCTGGCAATCCTCTTCAGAAAAATCAGTCATTGAGAAACTCCACGGAGCACAGTTCTCTAACATACATGGGTCGACTTCTACTTCCCCTCCCTCTTTCGGTACCGATTTGTAGGCCCTCCTGGAGCTTGTACAGGTCCCCCTTCCTGTGTCCCCTGCCCTTTCTGGTCCCCGAAAGCCCTCACCCATGTCCCCCTGTGGGAAGGTGGTGGCCAACAGCGGCCTTGTTTTATAGGCCATCTACGTGGTGGACTTTTTCTGGAATGAAACTTGGTACCTGAAGACCATGGACATCTGCCACGACCACTTTGGATGGTACTTGGGTTGGGGGGACTGCGTCTGGCTGCCGTACCTGTACACGCTGCAGGTGAGGCTCGGGGGCAGGGTTCACTGTTGTGGTTGTTCGGAATACATGTAACAGAACACACAGCTGTTCGGCACTTTCAGCACACACTGTACAACGGCTTTGCAGCCATTCTTGTCCTCGGTCTCCAAGCTATTAGGGCATCATTTTTGGTTGGGGTGGTGGGGAGGACACAATCCGGTTCATGCCATACGCAGTAAGTGTACCCCGAGATGGGCTCATCTTGTTTCCGTGTGCCTCACTCTGCTGCTCCTCAGAGGTCCCGTATTTTTGGCAAATGGAAGATTTTTGGCCGCCCTGCGCCAAGCCAGTGTGGACACTATTTTTTCCAGCAGCGTGTGTTGCTGTGTGTCTGTCCCGTGTTGGCTGTTGTTACACGTAGATGGCAGTCTAGTGGCAGCATTAACTTTACACACACTGGGAAACTAGAACCTGCGTGCGGCTCGCTTGATTTCACTCCTCTGCAACCAAACCCGCACTGTTTCTGGGCTCTTCCTGCTCGATCAGGATATTTACTCATTTGGTCCCCATAAGCAGCCTTCTGAGGGGAGCCCTTCATTCACAGATGGGGAAACAGGCACGGTACTCAGGAAAGGGGAGGGCAGGATTTGAACCTGGGCCCATGGGCAATGCATAACCTACCCCTTCTCCCCTCCCCAGGGCCTGTACCTGGTCTATCACCCAGTGCAGCTGTCCACCCCGTATGCCATGGGCGTCCTGCTCCTAGGCCTGCTGGGTTACTACATCTTCCGGATGGCCAACCACCAGAAGGACCTGTTCCGCCGTACAGACGGGCGCTGCCTGATCTGGGGCCGGAAGCCCAAGGTCATCGAGTGTTCCTACACGTCAGCCGACGGGCAGAAACACCACAGTAAGCTACTGGTGTCAGGCTTCTGGGGCGTGGCCCGCCACTTCAACTACACGGGAGATCTCATGGGCAGTCTGGCCTACTGCATGGCCTGTGGCGGTGGCCACCTGCTGCCCTACTTCTACATCATCTACATGACCATCCTGCTGACCCACCGCTGCCTCCGAGACGAGCATCGCTGTGCTAGCAAGTACGGCCGTGACTGGGCGCGGTACACTGCCGTCGTGCCCTACCGCCTGCTACCTGGAATCTTCTGAAGGACTGGGCTCTGGGTGAGCTCAGCTGCCCCCTGAGAGCTTCGCTTTTCCTTTCTGCAAAATGGAAATGGTCACTGCGCCTGGTAGGGTATAGGGTCTCAGAAAATACAAGTACCCTGTTCTTCTCTTTTCTCCCGAGGAGATGAATGAGCGTTTACACCAGCAGGACAGAGCCATTCTCAGTATTTACTGTCCCGGGGCTGGTCACCTCTACTAGTCTCCTGGTGACAGTGGACTGATGGCCAAGCTGTCTCCCACACTGCCCAGACAGATACTTGTTGGAGAGATCTCCAGATCCCCAATATCAGGACTGCCAAGTACTCTTGCTAAAGAAAGAAAAAATGAGGAGCGAGCTAGTTCTTGCTGAATTGTCTCCAGACGTGCCCTTCCGTCCCTGAGCTGAATGTGAGCGGGGCCCTGCAGGCGTTTCTCTGCAGTGAGACTGGCCGGTAGAGGGAACTGAGGGTGTGGCCTGCCCACCCCGCTTTCTTCCAGAGCCTCCATATTGTGTCCTCGCTTTCAGGAGTACTGGGCAGGATGCCTGCTGACCCTTTGCCGTCTTGTCCTCATGGCCACTTTGTTGTGCCTTCACTGCTGACGAGTTTCCTGAGGACCCCCTGAGCTAGTCCAGTGGACACCCAGTGCCTATCACTCTCCCCAGCCTGGACTCTGAAGGGTCTCTTCACGGGATGGTGGGCCTGGACCACACCTCCAGTGAGCCCCCCTCTGACCAGTCCCCTGTCATCGCTAATCGTAAAACTTGACATTAAACTTTCTCTGTGGAAATGACCCGGCGCTTTCTGTCTTCTGACTGATCCTGAATGTCAGACAGCCACGAGGAGCTGACTCGGGGCCTGTGTACAAGAGAACAAAACACTGCCCAGGCCTGCGTCCTCTCACCGAGGGTCTCCCTCGCCTTCACCACAACCTCCCCACACCCCAGCAAGCGAGGCAGTCGGTGTTCTGTGGGACCCATAGGGTTCTGTTTTCAGCCGTAGATCACCAGATCTTTCTTCCTAGTCTGTGTTATCTGGAAGTTCTGCTAAGACCTGTCCACATAGGTGTCCTTTGGCAGTTCTGGAGGCCAGGAGCCCAAAAGGGGTCTCACTGACTGAAGTCAGAGTGTGGAGGCTCCAGGGGAGAATCTGATCTTTGCTTCTTCCTGCTTCTGGTACCACTGGCGTCCCTTGGCTTGTGGTCACCTCACTGCATTCTGCTCCATTTCACCTTCTTTTCTATAACCAAATCTCCCTCCATGTGTGTTCCTCTTATGTAGGGCCCTGAGGGAACACTGGACCTATGTGTGTGAGGTGCTTTTAGTGTAACATTCGCTTTATTGAGGTGGTCGGGAACCGAACCCACAAGGTCTCTGAGGGCTGCCTGTACAGGAAACAGGTACATAGGCCACAATGTTCACATCCTAATAGGTGCGTGGTAGGACAACCACTGATTTGTATTGCTTTTTTTATATTTTTAATAAGCGTTATTTCTAATACCTGCTCAGGAGGTCTAGTTAGACATCGGGAATAATGTGTGTGCCTGGGCAAATCAGCGACATCTGTAGGAACTTTGGTTCTAAGAAGACCATGGAGAAAGGGGAATTCTGCCTGGGGCCGGGGTCACTGGTTCCCACACAGGCAGTCTCTGTTCTGCCAGCCCATGGAACTGCACTGCTGTTGCCCTGCGTGTCAGAGTAGAACTGTACCCCCTAGTAGTTAGCCAGGCCTTTCTTCCGAGTTGCCTCTGAGTGGACCAAACTGAGTTAACAGCCAAGCACATGGACCCTTTGCACCAATGGTTTTTGTTTCTGAGCCTCAGACATACCCCTTCCTTTCAAGCTATATATGAGGGGACGATGAGCTGTGAGAAGGGGCTCTGTAACTTTTAGATGCAAATCAAGGGTCAGCTGACCTCCTGGGGATACGGTTGGGAGACGCTAAGGGTTGAGGGCCACTGGACTCAAGGGGAGGGCAGGGGTTCCTCTAAGGCAAGGCCAACAGGGGCTCCTTGTTTTCTGTGTTGCAGTTCTCATTATTGTAAAAATGGGTAATGTGAACCCCACTTATATTCTTAGACAAAATTCCCAGAGGAATTGTCAATTCCTTGTATAAGAATTGACAATCCTTTTGTAATTCCCAGAGGTAGTGGTATTGTTGTTAAGTGCTGTCGTGTTGGTTCCGACTCATACAGACCCTATATAGGGTTTCTAAGAAGCAGCTGGTGGATTTGAACCACTGACCTCGCAGTTGGCAGCTCAGTGCTGATCCTACAGTGCCATGAAACTTAATGTTCATGAGACCTTGCACATGCTCTTGGAAGAATGTCATTGTTGTCACTGACATGTACAATTCAAAATGGCTGGAATGGGATGGGTTTTGTTTTGTGCATTTTCAACAACAACACGAAGTATGTTATCTAAAAGCAAAACAACAAAAACCTCTTGTCCCCATGAACTTAGCCCTGTGGTACCATTTTCAGCAAACACTAGGTAGGTCTGTAAGAGGAATAATGATGGGTAGTGAGGTACAGGCTCTGTAGAATGCTCAACCATCTGTAACAGGTAATGTGCACACTAATTACAGTCTTGTATACAATCCCACAAATCAAAGGGGCAGCTTTTACCCAAGGGCAAAGTTTAGGCTTAGGAAAGAAGGAGGAATGGAAAGAAGACACAGAGGGCGTGGGATGAGTGATGTTACCTTGTAGGGATTACAGTCAATGTTGTGAAGTGCCATCAAGTCCGTTCCGACCCATAGTGACCCTGTATAGGGTTTCCAAGGAGCAGCTGGTGAGCTTGAACCACCGACCTTGCAGTTCAAACGGCTTTGCAGTCTGACACATTAGCCCACAGCGCCACGCCAGGACTCCTGCAGTCAATGAGATGATATAAAATGCATGCATTTTCGAATGGAAAACTGAAGATCTGTTTTGCAAATATTCACTCAATTCACAATAAAATAAAACGTTTTTAAAAAATACGCCAGAACTTGTACATAAATATTCGTAGCCACTTTAATTGTTGTAGTTAAGAGCGGGCAAGCTCGTTCACTCAGAGTGACCCTATACACAACAGAACAAAACCACTATCAACTCCTGCATCATTCTCACAACTGTTGTGTGAGCCCATCACTGCTGCCACTGTGACAATCCATCTTGTTCTTCGCTGACCCTCCACATTGCCAAGCCTGATGTCCTTCTCCAGGGACTGGTTCCTCCTGAGAACATATCTGAAGTATGAGAGACGAAGTATGGCCATCCTGGCTTCTAAGAAGCATTCTGGCTTGCTTCTTCCAACACAAATTTGTTCTTGCAATCCATGGTCTTTCAATATTCTCAACACCATAACTTAAATGCATCAGTTATTCTACGGTCTTCCTTCTCACTGTCCAACTTTCACATGTATATGATGCTATTGAAAATACCAAGGCTTGGGTCAAGTCCACCTTGATACTCAAACTGCCATCTTTGCTCTTGAACAATTTAAAGAGGTCTCGTGCAGCAGGTTTGCCTAACGCAATACGTCGTTTGGTTTCTTGACTGCTGCTTCCATGAATGTTGATGGTGGATCCGAGCAAAATCAGTCTTGATAACTTCAATTTTTTTTTTTCCATTTGTACATGGCCCCAACTTGGAAACAACTCAGGTGTCCTGTGAGGTAGAATCCCAGCTGATAGAGCCAGCCATTCCAGAACAACGGCATTTTAGGCAGAGTCGAAAGGAAAACCAGAAGTGATAGGCTGGTCCCATTGAAGGCAGAGAGCTGGTGTCCTGTGCAGTTCATGACCCCGATGTCATAACTGTGTCACAGCACAGCACAATTGTTCATGATGATGTCCCAAGGCACCAACATAGGCGGTACTGCACTCAACATCCTGGCTTACGTGGGCAGGAAGGTTTGTGATTCATGGTAGAAATGTGTGTGTGTGTGTGTTTAATGCTGGTGTATTCTAGGAAGGTCTGACTGATGGACAATATAGTTGTTTGGAAAGTCCCTTACCTGATGGAAAAAGACGGGCTGTGGGCGGGCGGGTTGCATGCAGTTCTGTGTGTCTGTAGCTCTGGTTTGACTTAGGTGTTTTCACGGTAGAATTAGAGTCTCTTGGAATCTATCTTTGTTGACTAGGAACTGAGAATGCCACTGAGCACAATCAACAATTGCTGAGCACGCCCCAAGCCCACGAGAATCAGACTTCTAGATGTTGCATCGCACTTCCCACAGAACAAAGGTAAGAGCTAGCGGGCTGCCCCTCAGGCGCCGGGAGAACCAGCTGCCAGGTTTGCTCCAGGGCCCTTAAATTTCTCACAGGTGGACTTTCATGATTTTGTTTTCCCTTGAGCCTTCTTTTTCTTTTTTTTTCTTGTGGTATTTCTTTTTTTTCAACTTTTTATTGGAAATTGAGTAAAGGTTTATAGAACAAATCATCAGTTTTACATGAAATAAATCATACACTTTGCTTTGTTGCATGCTTGCATCCCCCTCCAAGTACCAAGTTAGCAGCATTGACCTCGGTTCTCTTTATTAAATTCCTCTCTCTGTTACCTGCTACCTTTCACCTTTCCTCTGCCAACCTCTCTCGTGTTGTATATTACCTGCCTCATCACCCATGTTAACATGTATGCACCTGGCAAAGCCGTTTGAATTGCAAGGTCGGCGGTTCAAGCTTACCAGCTGCTCCTCGGAAACCCTATACAGGGTCGCTATGGGTCAGAACCAACTCAATGGCACCTAACAACAACAACAACCCTGTAATCTGTGAATAAATTTCCCTCCCCTGCCCCAGCCATTCTAGATTGTTTCTTTTTTTTTTTTTAAGTTTTTATTGTGAATTGAGTGAAACTTTACAGGGCAGATCATCAGTTCTGTATTTAATAAATCATACACTTTGTTTCATTACAAATGAGTGTAATTCCCTCCACGTACCATAGCTTTCTCTTTTTTTTAAACACTCAGGCATATATAATAATTTAAACCACCAAAGGGCACATTCTGCAAGTCTGTG